TCTCTGATGGATCTATGCTACCCAAGCTGGGCCTGGGGACAGAGGCTTCACTGACCTTTGTCAGTGACAGCCCAAGGATGGAGCTGGCCAGGCGCTCTTGGCCACACAAGCTCTGGCCAAGGCTAGAGCACCACCTTGGGGGCGGGGTGAGTGGTGTGCTGCAAAACCCCATGGGTTGCCAGCAGAATGCGACTGTGAGTTGTGATTGGACCTGGTACAGATCTTCATCATGGTGCTCTAACCTACAATTGCTGAAGTCTGATACCACACCCATTCAGGGTTATCTTAGAGTGAGACCCATCATTTTTACAGTGCTCTATGTACCCTATCTTTGCGGTTATAGCTGTAGAGAGCTTTCTGCTCACCTACTGTGCAATAAGAGTAGTTTCTGTACTTGGCCTCCTGTGTTACTCTACCCGGTCTTGAGCTGCCTTCAGACTAACACATCTGATCACCTCTCTCTGTCCTTGAACACAAATATATGTCACATACCTGCTGTCCAGCTTCCTGCCTTAGGCTGACAATCAGTGTTGTGCAATATTGCCTTTTTGCAGCACTCTTTTTTTTTATAGAGTTTTAACTTCTTATAATTGTTGAAACAATGAAAAAAATGTTTATGGAATGAGCACCAGCAAAAGCTATCCTGCTCTGCATAGCATAATGGAGTTTTAATGTATTCCTCCTGTCGGCATGGTGTATTTGTGTGATAATTTTATGTGACAGTGTAATTAAATTGGAAAACAATTCCCATTTCCTATGTATTTTATCTATTTATCATCATTTATTTCTTTACTTTCTTGCTCTGCAATAAATATTTTTGTAAGGAGAGTTAAATAAGTTAAACCAATGCAATTACTTTTACAGATTGAAATTAACATCATATATCAATTTATACTAGTTTGTATAGAGCACCTACTATTTGCCCTGTACAAATAAATGCATTTGTTGCAGGATATTTATAGTGTCACTAAGGTTTCCATGTTTGTACTCCTTTTGAATAATGTTCTGTGTGTTAAAAGTTGACATTTTAACAGTATTTTCAAACAATTTCATTCATTATCAAATAACCATTTATTACACTGTGGCAATTTCAAACCATTTACTGGACCCTTTAGACACTGCTAAACAATGATTTATCAACCAGTGCACAAATTTTAATGCTTATCACAGCAAATATAGAAAGTAACATTAGATAGTGACTTGACAACAGCTTTGACTAAATTATCTTCTTTTTTAATCTTGATGAGTCATATTCAGTAATAGCTGGCTTGCCAGTTTATAAATGCACCAGAAATTGAGGGCAGACTGTTTCATCCTACAGTTCTTGGTTGGCTTTTTTTTTGGTTAATAATCTGTAGGAAACAATCCACCCTCTCTTTAAGAATTCTTTTTCCAATAGTGTTATACTGGCTCCCTCAATACTAAATCTAATCATTATTAGTGCTTTTCAGGTTAGTGTCTGTAACATATGAAAGGACTCTGAAAGCAAGTTTCCAGACAAGTATTTGTTTAAAAATGTGTGTCCCATTTCTATAAATATTCATTGGCTATTAATATTATCCTATAAAGCAATTATTTAGTATTATTTATTTTTATTATTGGAATCAGGATCTGTTTGTGATATGATCTGACATCCATATAAGAAGAAAGTCCCTGCTCTAAGGGACTTAAGGTTTAAGCATACAAAAAGATAGGTAATGAAGCACTACCCTTATTTGATAAATAGGGAACTGAATTGCAGACTGACTGTGTCTTTACTTGCCCATGGTGATGTAGGGAGCTTGTGGGTAAAACTGGGAATTGAACCTGGATTTCCTGAAACCCTGTCCACTGCCTTGATCACAGGGGGTAACATTTTCAAATGTACTTCAGTACTATTTTGAAGAACCAAAGTTCCTGGGGAAACAAATTCATATGGGATATAAATTGATTTAGTACTTTAAGAGTTAAAGTTGCTTTTGAAACAGAGACTTGCACTCTTACATTACTTGAAGCGCTCTTGAATATTCTACCCAGGCCTTTGCATCTAATCACAGGATTTCCAAGATGTTGCATTTATTTATGGAAATATTAATTAATCTGCTTTCAAAAAAAAGAAAGAAAATTCACCAGATCTAACAGCATCCTGGAGAAGTGCAAAATCAGGCCTAAAACTGTCATTGTTTCAAATAGGGTTTCCCTTCCACTGTATGTGACAAAATGTCCTCTAAAATCAACAAAAACAAATAATTCACTTTTATTCAAACTTGAAACACTAGCATAGATTTTTTTTAGCTCAAAACATCATATCAAGAAGTTGACTGATGGTTCTTTAACAGAGTGATCACACTGTCCTAATTCAGGTAACTGTCAGTTTGAAATTGGGACAGCGAGGTGAGGCATTTAAGGAAGGGTCATGACTAAAATAGTTTTCTTTATTTTTTTCCTTAATTTAGGCTGTGGCATTTGTTCACAGAATAAATAAACTACCACATCCATGTTTGTGTAAAAAAATAAAAATAAAGGGGGTGGGGTGGAGTCTTAGAAAACAAATTGGCCAGAATGATTCAATGAACCTACTGGTAATTAAATATGTTTTGGGGACTAGTCCAGACAAGTATGAGCATGTTTAAATGGGCTAGCTAGTTGTGTTCAACCGTAGGGCCTGCTGCTAATGGCACAATAGCATTTAACATTTTCCTGGTTAAAATGCTTCCTCTCCATGTCAAGAAGGCCTGTGGGAGCTTTGTTGAAAATCCTTCATTTGCCACAGTAATCAAAGGTATTATTTTAATCTGATGAGAGGGGTAAGAATGGGGTGGAAACTGGATGGAAGGTGAGATCTCTGTTAATTTAAGGATATATTATACAAAACATTAAACCCAATCAGGGTATCTATCAAATATAAGTGCCCCTGTATCTCTGCCGTTATCTACCTCCCCTAATGGATTAATTTGACACTAATTGCAAAAATGATTTAATTTAGTTAATCTTCACAGACTACTGTTTGGAAATTAAGATTAATGGATGGGATAAAATCTAAATATTTTTGCTAGATAAAAACTTGGAGATTGAAGATTCCAAGCTGATGGAGGTGGCTACAAAAGGTCTTTTCAGAAGGCAGATTGCTAAATTGAGAGTCAGGGTGCACAGTCAGTCACTTCTGTACATTTGAAAAGTCCAACACAGGCTGCAGCCCAGCCTGATTGCAGCTAGGTCTGGGGCTCTGCCCCAGCCACAGAAGGCAATTTGAGAGAGTAGCTAGAGATGTGTGTGGGGAAAGGAGATGAATGGTTCTTAGAGCTGAGCTGGCAGCCTAGAAGGAACAAGGGAAAGTAGAAGAGAGAGACAGGTGAGGACCGCTATGAAAACAGGAATGGGAAGTTTAATTGGTGTGCAAAGCAATGGGGAATGAGTGGAGTGACTTGAGAGGTATGCAATATGCAGCAGGAGGAAAGTGCAGGAAAATGACTAAAGTGACATGCATGTGGGTAAAATGTGATGAACAGTTTTGACTAAAAATAAGGAAAACAGTCTAGGAAATTCTGTTTTGTTTCAAGGTTTTTAAAGCCACATATTAAAATGCTATTTTGTGACCAAATTTAGCTAAAGTTTTTAATTTACAAAAGGGGGAACATGAAACTAAATGCAGTGTCTGGGGTTATTCTGTCAGTTATTCTAGGACTAGTGGCTTGGTCAAATGGGGAGAGATGGTTCTCAGTTGTCAGCCTGCCCTTTTGTAGCACTGGATCAGCAAGTAAAAAGGGAGATTTGCACCAAGGCCAGTTACAGGTCCCTGAGCCTCTGTCTCACCTCCACTTCTGGCAATATGGGCTGCTTTCATCTGTGACAGCTGGGGTAAGCCTTTGAAGCTCTCTGCCAGCTAAGCATAGCCAGAATACAGCATGTTCCCAGTACTCTTCCTGGTGTTCCCACCAAGCATCCAGTGGGGAAGGGGTTATTTTGACTTTAAACCAAGTGGGGATCCAAACCAGGACAAAGAGAATGTGTCAAAGAACCTATATCTTAAAGGCATTCCAGAGAGAAGGGCAGAACAGTCAGGGATGCATATTTCACCCGCTTTCTTAAATGATCATTTACCAAAATAAAAATGGGGAAAAAAAGCCAAGTCTACTTCCTTTCTTACTAGTGAATGTTTGTCCTTTACTCCCACAAGAAGTGGGAATAGTAAACGTCCCTCAGACTGAGGTGTGTTCTGATGATGTCTTGTTATATTTGCATTAAATTAAAAGATTATATTTCTACAACATCAGCCAATTGACATCGGAGACTTGCTTTGCTAAATACTGCAGTGGGACTCCTAATTGTTCCTCCACTGCCCTATTGCCAGCTTCCCTTGTGCTCTTTTGTGTGCCAAGCTAATGTAATTAGCCATGTGTTAAGCTTGCAAAGGAGACAGGAGCTAATACTAACACATGGCTAATTACAATATTACAGTTGGCCATTTGCTAGGCTGACTCAAGGGACTAGTAATAGAATATGGAATCCTTTACCTTAAGTTCAGCTGTTCTCACCCCAAAATTCCCAGTCAGCAATCAATAATTTCTCATTAACATTGGCACAAATGAATGCAATGCTATTCAGCCAGGTGGATGACTTTAGCCCATATTTCTGTCAATAGGGAGAGCTGTTGTCCCTGATGATTAGGTTTCAAAGGGAAGTTCACAACACTGTGAATGAATGGGAGAAGCTGACATGATTATTTCAGTGATTTTGTCATTATTTTAGTTTTGTCTCATCTCCAAACCAACTAAATAATCTTTTGGCAGAGGCAGACTTGAATTCCCAAGTCTGCAGTTCATTGGGGCACCTCAGTACTACTGAAAGGCAAATATAGTACAGTGAAAAGGGACAGAAAAGTTCATGGTTCCCTTAGATGATAAATCTCTATGAGGACCCTAATTCCATAATCCTACCTGTGTTGCCGACAATGTAAAGGGTCATTGCTTCTAGGCATTCTAGTCATTTTCTTGCTGAAGGGTATCACCTTCTATGTATGCAGTGCCTTCATCCTGTCAAGTTGTGTCCCATAAATTTGCATGTCTTCTATGAAGCAAAATGTGTTGCCAGCAGCCTCCTAGACCAGATCAAAACAATTTATTAATGTGTGTTTACATCAGCTTTGACCTCCTGTGTGGCTTTCTATCTGTTCCCCAAACCAGCTAAATCCCCTCTTTAAAGAAAGTGTTCTGGTAGGGATGAGCAGAGCAAAGGTTAGATCACTGAAATTGGTCCAAGTCTTCAACAAGGCACCATTGCAACTCAGCTATGCAAATTAAAATGTATGCTACAAATGCATTCAGTCTTATTCCATTGGGATAAGCATGTTATGTTAGGGGTGTGTATATGTGTATGTAGTGAGGGTATAATGAATGCCTGCTGCCCCCTCCCCTCTCTGGGTGTGTGGGGATGACAAATTCTTTGAGAAGCAATTCCTTTGACTGGCTCGTTGAGGAAAGGAAACTTGTCATGATGCCAAGCACAAAACTGCTTCTGGGCTTAGTTTTGAATTTTATAAAGTGAATAAGTGAAAAATGTATACACATTCACTTCAGACCCGAGTTATGAATAATTAAAAGAATATATAATTGTATCCAGTTTTCCCCTCAAGCTCAACCAGCAAAGACATCTTCTGTCCATGTAACAGGGTGCTTCATGTTTTTTTCAAAAATTGTAAGAACTGAACTGAACCAAACATTGCTAAATTTATGTGTATGCAAGTATAAATAACAGCCTGACCATTAGAACAGACAAGAAAGAGAGCGTAGTGCTCAACAGTTTTATTTGATGGAAGGAGTAGATTTTTAATTTGACTATGCACACGTATTTCCTTAGTGCTGTACATCCTGACTTTCATGCTGGATTCTGATCGGAGATGGGTGGGCTGGGTATAAGTGTATGCCTTACAGAACACGCTATTCCATTTGTCCTTGTATGCATGGCAACTGACTCAAGGACTCCGGGCAAGATATAGCAACATGTATCTGATTGGAAGTTAGGTTTCTCTGGTATTTTATTACCATAGTAGAATAATTTAGTTTTGTCAAACACAACTATTACATTAACTCTGCAATTGGCTGAAATGATTCTTTATTTTACTAAGTAAAATAAAAGAAGGATGTTTAATGCATAATAATTGTTATGCAAGCATAACTTCACAGAAAAAAAAATGTTTCTTTTTTAAGAAGGGACCAGCTTTGGTGTACATTAAAAAAAAACAACGGAATTTAACAACCATGAGTAAAATGTTTGTCTTCAGCTTATATTGATGCATCCCAGTAGCAAAGGGCAGAAGCAAGGCAACTTCATTATATATTATTTTTCCCATTATTCTCCTAGTATTCTACCAGCTTCCTATACTGCGTAAGTTTTACTCCTGGAAAAATTGGAGTGAACAGCAGGAGGTTTGCCTCAGGAAAGAATGGTGAATAAATTAATAAATTTTTAATAATAATGTATTTAGCACCTTTCACCTGAGGATTTTGGAGTGCCTTACAAACACTAATTAAGGCCTGCACCAATTTTTGTCAAGTAGGAAAGCATTATTTCCATTTACAAATGGAGAAACTAAGACACAGGCAAGTTAAGTGACTAACTTCAGTCATGCAGAGGTATGTGGCAGAGACTAGGTACTGAAAGCCAGGAGCCCTGTTTCCTGTCACATACTTTAACCTTTGTCTACTCTGCCTCATGCTGCTGTTGCTGGTAAGGTTTTTTGGGTAAATGTGCTATATTTTATTAGACCAACTAAATAGCTGGAAAAAATTATTCTTTGTAAGCTTCTTCAGGCATGGTGGAAGAGAAGCCAATATACAAAATTCAGGTCTGGGGTTATCAGATGTCAGGCAGTTTATAATGTTCCATAAATCTAATGTCTATATTTCATCCAGGATTTTTTGTATCCAGTAGATTTATGAACTGAAGTTCATAGGCTTATCTATGAAAGGTGTTTTGTAAATTCCTTTTGAGGATTAGAACTAGAGACTGGTGAGATAATGGCTGTCTTGTGAGAAGTGTGCACCCACAGGTAATTGGATATTTTTGTCATTGATGTATTGTCGGTATGCATTCATTCTCGCATGTAATTGCTGGTTGGTTTCTTCTACATATTTTCCACCAGGACATTTAGTACACTGGGTGAGATGTATTACATTTGTGGAGGTGCAGGTATAAGATCCAGGAATGGTGATGGTTATGTTGTGGGATGTTGTTATTGTGGGAGTGTTGGAGATGTGTTGGCAGGTTTTACATTTCTTGTCTTGGCATGGTCCAGATCCATTTGATGTGCTTTGAGCCATAGGAAGTTTGCCTCTGGTGATTAGGATGGGAAAGTTCGGTGCTTGTTTAAAGGCTAGGATGGGTAGTTCTAGAAAGATGTCTTTAAGAATTGGATCTTCTTCTAGTATGGGTTGAAACTGAGGATTTTCCGTATAGGGTCCAGTGAAAGATGATATTTCATAACTAATGATGTGCGATTCATGGAGATTTTTTTTTGTACTGCAGCAATTCTTCACGTCGTAACTGTTTGCAAAACTGTGATCCAGTCTTTCTGGAGGAATGTCCTTATTGGTTGAAAGCCCTTTTGAGATGTGTGAGGTGACAATCATAGTTGTTCTTCTCAGTGCAAATTCGGTGGTATTGGAGGGCTTGGCCGTATATTACAGCTTTCTTGATGTGTTTAGGGTGATTGCTAGTTTTGTGTAAATATATATGTTGATCTGTTGGTCTGTGGGTTTCTTGTATATGGTGGTTTGTATTTTATTGTTTTGGGTATTGATCATAGTGTCTAAAAGGGAAACGTTCTGAAGTTCTCCTGCATACTTGTGAAGCATATTTGGAGTTGTGTGTAGTAGACAGAGGATTGGTAAACTACAAGCAGACCTGGACAGGTTGACATGTGGGCGGAAAACAACAGAATGCAATTCAACAAGGAGAAATGCAAAGTGCTGCACCTAGGGAGGAAAAATGTCCAGCACACCTACTGCCTAGGGAATGACCTGCTGGGTGGCACGGAAGTGGAAAGGGATCTTGGAGTCCTAGTGGACTCCAAGATGAACATGAGTCGGCAGTGTGACGAAGCCATCAGAAAAGTCAATGGCACTTTATCGTGCATCAGCAGATGCATGACGAATAGGTCCAAGGAGGTGATACTTCCCCTCTATCGGGCGCTGGTCAGACCGCAGTTGGAGTACTGCGTGCAATTCTGGGCGCCGCACTTCAAGAAGGATGCGGATAACCTGGA